TGTAAATATAAAAAATAGCTATGCGCACATACAATTTGTAAGTTAAAATCTTTGTTCCATTTTACTAACTATTGAACCAATTTACGTCGATAAATAATTATGTTTAAGCGATACTTTCTTTTTTTTTTTACTCTCTTAATATAGACTTCGCACGTGCACGGTTTACGTTCTATTGTAATTTGACCATTATTTATCAAATGCGGAATTTGTGTCATAAAGAAAATCTAACTGACTCGATATTCGACGATAATTTGTTTGACAAAGTTTCATTAATTATATCACACACACACACACACACGCGCGCGCGCGCGCGGGCGCGCACACACACACACACACACACGTGTCATATAGATAATAATATTGAATAATAACGTGAAATGAATGCCAAAAATATTAAATCACGTTTATTAACCATATTATTTTCTTAAAATGAAAAAAAAACACAATATCATTATGGATAATAATTTATTGTAAATAAATTTTTAAAGAAATTCAATACTTTTTATACTTTATTTAAAGATATTCAGCGAATTTTTACACAAATAACTCAAGGTTATTGTATTTATTTATTCGAATACTTTTAAACAATTTTATTCTCGGAAGAAGAGATTGCGTAGGATATGTTAATATATTACCACACGGGAGTGCTTTTAAATTTTAATACCGCTTTCGGCTCAATGCTCAGCTCTAGAAATTAGAGATGTAATGAAAAGGAATGGAAGATTCTTTGTGAATTCGTCACGGGGTCGTGTGGCTCTGTTTTCGAGTTCCAATGAAAATGACTTGTCCCGGAACGTTCCTTCAAATAAACAAAAATAATCCCGCCAATTGGTTGATAGTACAAGCACACCTACATGGGCGCGCATAATCGACCAATCCACTATTAACGTCAACGCGCGTTTCAACGGACAAAGGCTACGTACAACAGCTGGAGCATATATGATTCATAAGGAGACGCGAAGAGAGTCGATTTGAATGGAGCTCTCGTTTCCCTTTCACGCCTCTTACGATTAAACGACCGTAAAAAGAAGAAGAAGAAGAAAAAAAAGTGCATCGCCCAGTGGAATTTGCAGAGTTGCGAAACGTCCTGTGGCGGCCTTCCGGCGGCTCTTGACACGTTATCTGTCGCACGATAAATGAAAAGCGCGTTGCGCGAACGGGAACGACGAACTTGGAGAAGGCGCGGTACCGAGGCTTCAGTGGGCGAAGAGTCGAGGCTTCGGCGCGGCAAGTGTCCGTGTAAGTCCAGGTGACGGACGCGGCCACGACGTACCGATCGAGGCGATCCACCGCCGTGACAAGAGAAGGACCGGGACGGCAACCGCCCACCCAGCAACGCTAAAACGTGTGCGATTAGCAGCCCAAGTCAAACCCCCACTTTGTCTGTCCGAAGGCCCTTCGAGGAGTCGAACAGCCGCGCTTGCTGCGCTATTTTTTCATTTTGAGGCTAAATTCTTATTTGCACTTTTACATATTTCGCGCGTTCCCTCGCTTCATCTTATTAATCATTCATTCGCTCTAAAGATATTCTTCAGGCCATATTATGGCTAATCTCTTGCCTTGGCAAAAGATATATATTGGCGAAATAATAAAATTAATCAATTCGCTTTTTTATGCACTGATAAATTGCATCGACTCGACGAGCGATTTTTATATCGATTTGTGGCTTTTAGAGGTATAACGTTAGCTGTAGCGCCGCGATGAAAGTTTATTAAATTTTACTAAAGAAGATGCACAGAGTGCACAAGAGAGGTGTATTTAGGGTATCGTTCTACAATTATTCTTCTTATTAAATAAAATTTCATTAAAATTCGAGAAATAGAATAAACGACCGTTCTCTTCGACGCACGTTTTATTTATTCGAAATAATAATCCTTTATCTTCTGATTCTATAAAAGCGCTTTTAAATATTCTTGTATGGGCCGCATCGATAAGTCGCCACCACGAAGCTATTTAATAAAACTTGACGATGCAATCAGACTTTTATAAAATAATAAAATGAAAATGAAATAAGTATTGTATTATAAGTAAGAGATTGATTCACAATATTAATATATAATATTGAATTTTTTATACGGTTGAAAGGAAATGATTTTTCATTACTTTTAATTTGAAAATTATTAATGAATGCAAATATTTTATAAAGTTCCCTACAGAAATCAATTTTCAAACATTAATATTAAAATTAATACAGCGATTAATTATGAAAAAATGTTATCATCAAACAATGAATGATTTAATGTATTGCAAGATTTTATGTTCGAATAAATCTGATCGAATAAATTTTCGAGCCAGGATTGAATTAACGTGCATCATGTATAAAACGATGTCTATTAATAAATTTGTTGAGTAACAATTTTTCTTAAGAAAATGTTCCAATTATTGTTTCTTATATGATGGACATCTGTGGGCACGCATGTTCATTCATTGTTACTGGCATTGGACAGTTATATGGCGAATCACGATTTTCAAAATTGTTAATAAAATTATAACACAGTTGTATTAAATTGTCGTAAATTATTTGTTTTCTTTAATTTACTTAATTTTTATAATTATTATAATTATTTTTAATCAAATTCTTAGTGGCTATAAAATCTCGAGGGCTATTCCGTGGGCTCTTAATTAATTTGCGCTTATGCACATAAATAGGGTCGAAAAAAAAAAATGGCAAACCAGTCTGAGAGCGTCAACGATAATGAAGTGTATCGCATAGTAATATAATCACACGAAGCTCGGCGACGACGCTCACTTACCTTTAACCATTTCATTCTCCTTCGATTAAAGTCGTAAAGTCGCACATGTATGGACCGGCAATAATGGATCGCGATGCGTTGAAATAAAACGACTGAGGAAAAAATTGGCGCGCTCGGGGCATGTATAGGCGCGCGTTTGCGAATGTGTGACTCAAGCCCTGCGCGCGTCAATCGGCGAAAAAGAAAAAGGGAGGCGGAAGTCTCGGTCGAGCGTGGAAAAAACTCACGCGGCCGAACAAAGCCCGAGCAGAGCGGTCGCCAATCTTCGCTCGGCTTGAAGAGGAATCGAGATTTCAGAAAAGGAAAGTTGTTTGCACCTCGCGCTCTTCGCCTCGGGATGAAATAAAAGGGCCGGCCCGAGAGGTTGCGCTGGTGGGCGGGGGTACTTTTCCCGATGCGTTGCTCTCATTGACGCACAGAATCCGTCTCCCGCGGTGCGTTGTTCGCGTTGTCTCCAGACGCACAAAGCAAAGACGCATGTTGCTGCTGCTGCTGTCGCGGCGACTGCCCTCCCCAGATACAAATGCCAATAAACGGGACAGCTCGTTGGTACTGAACTACGAGGATTTATTGTTCCGAGTGACTATGTTGGCTGTATTCGGAAAATACGCGAAAGATTCTTGACCGATGAGTTGGTGGTTCGTGCGTTTTTCGTTTTACTTAACGAGGGAGGGGGTCAATGACCTCGAGATACTTTATTGTACGAAGCGACTAAGAGCACTTTTGTTGCACTTAACGAGGCACTCGCTGGATCTGCGACGGGTAGAGTGACTCGGCTTTATCCAATTGCATTCTCGGCAATTAAAGCAACAAGTAATCTTAGAAATTGTATCCGAAATTCTGACTGTGAAGCGACGATAATTGGGATAAAATCGTTTAGATTCTTTCGTTTGTTCTTGTGGAATCGTCTGGCAGTAATTTTCTAATTTAAAATGTAAGATATGATTCATTTGACATATCAGGTTTAATGGATATTTGTTATAATTGTAAAAATGAAATTTTCATTTAAATAATGAAGACATTGTTATTATATCTCCAACATTGTTTATATATACATACATACATATATATATATATATATATATCCACAATGGAGTCTCGTACTAAATTAAATTTTATATTATTAGTTATTTATATTGATGTTTTTCGAGCTAGAAAATCAACACGGGACTAACTAACTAGACTCAATATATTTTACGGTCTTATTAATTTATTCTGTCTGTATGTAGTCTTCCTATAAATTTACATATAACACATCACATGTTTCTTTGTTCCATGTATATTGAACTTAGAGTTTACAGAAGTCTTATAACGTATGATAAGAACATTTGTCATCACTGAATTGTATAGGGATGAACAAAACGAGGTTACAACCGAATGTATATTTGTTCAACCAGTCAATTTCGCATAATAGTGAAAAAACATGGAAACTTTATTCGTACTTTCATATAGTTTATAGATTTATTACAAAATGAACGTTTTATAAATATAATGTTTATAGTGTATTGGTAAATTTGTAAATTATTTTTTAATGATTTATTTACTAATTTATCGCAAAACATTGAATAAAATATTTTGTACCAAGACGATATATTTGAATAATTTGTGACAAAATGGTTTATTCGTCGTCGTTTAGTAGAAAAACCTTCACTAAACTGAAAAATTTAATGTAATAATAGCCTTATCAAGTACTTGATTTAGAATAAATTAGAGGATTACGTGAGCATCCAAATTCTTGTGATCGTCATTAAAACATACTTATAATTTTATAATATCATTTGGCAATAAAAACAATACCTGGGAAGCAGACATCTAATCTACAGTCGACAGCAGAGCATTGAATACCAAGTCTGCACGTCGCCTAGACTCATGTCTTACCTATCCATTAGAATCATTTACTGGATAATTACTTACATAACCAAGTGCTTCAGGGGCACTAGGGCTCGATAGGCCCAATAGCCCCGTCAGCGGCGTTTCTCTTCAAAATATAATATACAGAGATAGAACAAAGAAGCGTAATGTATATAATGAGACAATTTTGTCCGTGTGCGTGTGCGTGTATGTATGGAGTGCGGTGTCTAATAATAATAATAGGGTCGTATGCATGTGTTTATTTGTGTGCACGCGCATGTTTAGGAGAGAGAGAGAGAGAGAGAGAGAGAGAGAGAGAGAGAAGAAAAAAAAAATAAGAGCGAATAAGTATAAGTGTAGCAAGTAAGTGCAGGCGTCGAGGCCGCTTAGACTCACCTGGCTCTTGGAGGCAGGCGAGCGGTGCCTGTGGCGCTGCTCAGGATTGGGCGAGACCGAGGCATGGTGGCGTCGGCCCCTATTGCGCTTCGACGAGGACATGGCCGAGGTCGAGCCCGCGAGGCCCGATGCGGCCGGGCGGTCGCGCTCCCGATCGCGCTCCCGGTCCCGGTCGCGGTCACGGTCCCGCTCCCGGTGCGCGTGCTGGACAGCATGGGAGTGCTGGCGGCCGCTGCTCGGCGAGCGCCGGTGCGAGCGCTTGTAGCGACGCTCCTGGCTGGTGCCGCGCTCGTGCTGGCGCAGCCGCAGTACCCGCTCACCGCTGCAACGTCGACAATTGTCACCGGGCGTACCGGGCGATTAATCTCCTGCTGCCATGGGATTACGGGACGGTGGATCTCACCCAGCCACACGGTTATAACTCAGAGCGACCTTTCGTTTTCCTAAGTTTGATAAAGTCTTATACGCTGTATCTCGTCTTACCTGGCCCACTAACTACTACATTAGCATAGCGACTGGCTCGCCGGTCAACGAGGAGGTGATTCCGGGCGCGCCTCGTCGTCGAGATCGACCGGGGCGATTTCAAGCGTAGTTATGTTATTAGGTCGACGGGGAAGAATTGCTCGCGTTTATTGCTCTATCGAGAAGCGGTAAATTACGAGGTGGTGTACTCGCGAGCGACTATAAAATGAAAAGCCTCGAGAGTGCTTGTCGGCGATTTATCGGAGAGCCCGTTGACTCGCGTAAAACACCAACTATCCTTTCTTCCAAAGCACTTTTCTCTGTCTCAAAATCCAATATGAGAGAAACGTTCTTTGAATTATCAATGATTTATTTATACAGTCCAGAACGTTCTCTTTTGAAACTAGAGGCAATTGATTGCATCAAGTGTAAATGGTCTACGTACTACTCCGACTTTGTTTTTAAACTCAGTTAGAATGACAATTGCATTATGATTCATTAGAGACTTCCTAATGTATTATGATCTGTTTGTTAATTGACTATGTTTGTTAAATGGCTCCTTGTGTCTCAAATTTGTAATTTTTAGTCTTTTCATTGAACTATTGCAAACAATTTTTTGTATAAAGTTTACTTACACATAGCAATTCGATCTATGCATCAAGTTAAATACAACAATAAAAAAAAAGTTTATGCTAAAGTTGATTGACGTTTTGTTAAAGATAAATTTAACGCTTCCATGCAATTAAATAAACATAGAATATATGCATATATGATCCCATTCATGCGATACTAAGAATATATAATATCTTCGATTATAATTCAATAGTCAACCCTTTATTTCTTACTTTATATTAATATTTCAATTTTCTCAAAACTATTATTATAAATTATAAGTTTAGCTTTCAGATAAAAAATATGCGTAAACCTATAAAGAAGGAAAAGAAAAAAGAAAGAAAAAAAAATCCAGGACATTGTTACATTTTGACCGCCTGTCTAAATTATGTATAAAAGGTCGGATCCGGCCTTCGAATGTGATCAAAAGATATAAATATAAATATTGCTTTTAAAATCTTTTTAACCTTCTTTCACTCACTTTGTGACTCCAAATGTGCTACCTTTACTTTGTGTACAAATTAGCCAATGTAATGTCCCCCTGTGTATAAATCAAGTGGCCTAACGATCTGCAAAGAAAGAAAACCACCGGTCTTTCCCCAATCTTTTTCCCCGCCATAAACACAAAAACCAAATGCGAGCAAATCAGAGTAGCCGCTCGTGGTTCTTACAACTAATGAATGACGCATCGCAAAGTTAGTCGTCGCACATATCTATACACACACACACATATATATATATATATATATATATATATATATATATATACACATTTTTTTTGTCGTTTTTTCTTTCTCTTTATATTGACGAGATATTGCGTCGCGAGTTCAAGGCAAGTCGATAACCTTACATGTAATACTAACCGCCTAATTACCGACTCTGCTTTCATGTAGCTATCGAATGTTAGGATTATACTTTATTTATAAATGAAATTATATAATATTGGCTATATTAATATTATTAAAGGAGAGAAGTTACTTTATAACGTCATTGGCATTATTTCGCATTGAAAAATGACTCTGTTCTTTTTGCTTTGGAACATCTTTAAAAACAATCATCATTCGAACTACTAGAAATTATTATATGTTAGATTATTCCAGGGACAGTGAAAGGCAATATTGATTAACAAGTTTCAACATATTACTACAAATAATTTAACTACATGTGCTGACACATTCAATGACAAATTAATTGGTGTAGTTTTTGATATTTATCGATAATTCATTTAGTAGCATCGATAACACCCGTAGGTGTTATAATTGCAAGTCTCTAATATTCTTGAAATTATAAAATTTAGTTAGTTTCTGGACTATTCAATGCAACACATTATTATAATCGCATCAAGAGTATTTTAAATTAACAACAGATTCCAATTTATTAAAACAAGTGATACCGATTCAAATAACACCGTTTTACTTCTTCATTATATATACAAATAAATTTGTGTATACTTAAAATACTTACGAAATAAATCAAGAGGAACACATTCATCATTTCGCGCAACTAATGAATTTTTCAAATTAGTCTAAAATCTTCGCGTTATCGTTGAATGTGTTGAGTAATAACATTCGCAAACTTGTATCCAGATTTGACGCGATGATGATTGTTATCGCCTATATGCGTAAATTTACATTTCTTTTTACTTCAATTATGATATGTGGTCGTGAGCATACTTCGATATTAAATCTAAAAGGCTGTGCTTTCGTCTTTATCGATCATTCCGAATGTCAATTTATTGTCAATGTGAAATTGAAAAAGTATATAACCGATTTTTATTCTACGTATAAAAAATAATTAATCACTAATTATATAAATTCTCAATAGTACTTGCAGCAATAAAAATATCATTATATATGTGTTACGCTACAAGGAATTATACAAAATAAAGACAAAGTAGTATGTTGATCGCAAGGTATTTTTTGTATATTATATAGTACATTATAATAAATTTTTCATAAATAATTTGTGGTTCAAAAAGAAAATAATTGGAAAGAAATCGTTTTATTTATACTTAACTATTGCAATTTTCAAGTCAAATGAATTACATTCGAGAATAGCCATTTCAATAAATATGGATGAATCGCAGAAGATTAATGGATTTCTTTATAAGCCGACACTGGACAACCGATTGATCTCGAAAAAAAAATCTCATAGTGTCGCCGAGTACACACATTTTACAAAACTGTGCTGTCCACATTTACAACCCATTAGCGTTTCGTTTATTTAACCTATAACTTTTTTCGACTTCTCACTCTTATGGAACTTCATCAATTTAAAGAAAAAAGAAAAAGAAAAAGAAAAAAAACAGTAAAACAAAAAAATGCGTCTGTTTAAAAATGAATACTTTAGATTGCACAAATTCATGAAGTAACGAAACTGAACGCGCAAACATATGTTTGAAAGCTCGATTCTGATAAATAAATCTCATAATTGAAATATTTTACAATGTACATCCAATAATTTACTATTGCTTTCAAGTTATCTAATACAAAATCTAACTACCTTTTAAACTAGTTTTTATTTCAAATAAAATTAATGCCTGCGCGTTAATTATATGCATTTACTAAGGTGTTTACTTTAGAATCAATAAAGTGCTTTATTTGCTTTTATTGAAAACGTTTGTTTGAAATAATTTGAATATTAACTATTTAATATTTGCTGGATGCAATAATAAATTATGCATTTTCACGAATGGAGCTTATTTGAAATATTTGCAGATAATATTCAATAATTATTATTATAACGCAGCAGGCTGAAATTGTCTGGAGATGATTTAGGAAGAGTAATGTTTTTAATCGAGCTTCAGGCTTTTAAATTATTCATAAACAAAATAATTGGAAAGTACATGTTTTAAAATACATACGCGCAAAGCTTTTTTTTTAAGGCAATATTCGCCTTGAACAGTTTGACATGTATATTAAATAATTTTAATTGCAGTAATTTTTAATTGTATTTTAAAAATAAGAAATTGAAATTGAAATACTTGTACAGAGACATGTATGTAGTAAAGTAATACTATTATTTTATTTGCATATAGACAGAAGTTATCTTCTTTGTAATTGTTCAATTTACACATATTAAAAAAAGTAACATAAGATTGAATATGTTATTATTCTATTTACGGAAAATTACTTTAGTTCACGTTTAATAAAATAACTGATTATTATAACGTTAAGTCTCAACATTTAAGAATTTAAAAAGTTGGACATTGAAAAGATAATATATATAATAACTGGAAATAGTATTGAATGCATGTGATTATAAATACATTGTATTAAGTACGTGAAATTTAAATCTATCTTCATCACTATGAAATTCACAACTAAGAAGTAATAATGACAAATTGTATTTAGAAAATCAAAAAGAATCAATAAAATTATAATGCGAAATAACGGTTGCACGCGGCCTCGTATTTTTTTTCTTTCTTTCTTTCTTTCCTTTCCTTTTTTTTTTTTTTTTTTTTTTTGGCAAAAGTACACTTTCCGCAGTTTGCTTCCCCTCTTGGACGTCTTCCAGGGTCCTTGGACAGGTTTAATGAGAATTCCCCAAAACGAATGTTCCTGTATGCGAATGCCTTCGACGAATGAGGTCGAGTTATAGATTCTACAACTTGCTATCGCATGCAGCTACGTTCGTTTTTTACGTGGATTTCACGCTAACTCACTTCGTGCATGATACATATAATCATAAATTGTCATTTAATATTTATTCACAAAAGAAATCGTTTAGTATGAAAGGAAAAGGTGAATTTGATTAGAGCATAATGAAAGATTTGAAATTTGAAATTAGGCAAGGACTTGTCATTGTTAATACGGTAATTAAAATGTTTATTAACTGGTTATTCGTAGTTAGTATGTTAACGTCTTATAATAAAGTGTAGTGTAAAAAAGTTAAATTAGATTACGTAAATAAAATTAATTTAAGAAAATTAAATTTTATGCACAGGCATTGATTGAATAATTTAAATCAGCAATTATCTGTAAATTCGATTCAAATATTAGATTCTTAATCAAACGTTTTCTTTATCTAACAAACACTCTAATTACACTACATTAAATTGAAGTTAAATTGTGTTATATTTTATGCAAGCCATTCTAAGGTTACATTACAATTCATTTAATGGTATAGATTTATTAGAAATAAAATATATATAAATATATATATATATATATATATAAATTGTCTTCTAATGAAAAACTTTCAATAACATTAAATGTACGTCTTCGTAAGTCTTAATACTCGCGATAA